GGGAGCCCCCTTGTCCCTTTGCTTGGAGTTACCGTAGCTTACGGAAAGCCACCCGGGCCGTTGCCGTCTGTCGTCGAGGCTCGGGCCTGGCTGCCAGGGAGCGGCCCGGATCGATCGCTCACGGCCGGTATCTGCGTGGATGAGCCACTGTATCAGCAGCGCCTTCCCCGGGGAGGCGGTGTCGTGCCGCGCGGCCGACTCCCTGACATTTTCATGGAGTTCAAAGCTCAAGTTCGTTTGGTGCTGACATTTTGGATTAGCTGGTTGACTGGAAGACCTGCTTCTTTCTATACACTGTGAAATTTATAAACCGCAGCAGCTGAGGGCTTAAAATGGCCGACGAACCCCCAGCTGGCAGCAATTAAACCCACCACAGACCTTTGGCTAAACAAAGGCTTGTGGGGGCAGAGCCTGCTTATGCGCTCAGCAGGCTCCTTGTAAACTACCTTTTATGTCAAGTGTCAGTAAGAGACGCCGTCTGCTAATGAGAGGTGAGTGGGTGGTGTGTTGCCACCTCCTGCTGCAGGATCCGCACCCGGGACTGCAGGACCCGGGAGGGTGAAGCTGAGAGAGGAGCAAAGCCGCGGGGGGCTGCCCCTCCAGCTGCACCCCTTTGTGCTCTGGACACAGCCCCTTGGGTGGAGCACGAGGCAACAAGGTGCGAGCACTGGAGAGCCCAGGTCAGTGCTGTCTTATAGGCCAGTTTTTGTTTAAATCAATTTAAATTTTTCAAAAGCCAGATCCTTTGTCACACTGGCCACATCCCAAGTGCTCGGTGCCGTCCCGGGCCTGCGTTGTCCTAGATGATACGAGCGGACGGGATGCTGTGGACTCCTGACTCTAGACACGTGGTGGGGGTGTGAATTGATCACGCCACCTTGAGACAGTGGATTCCGTTTGCTGAGCACTGGTGCCCTGTGACCAGCAGACAGACACCTCCTAGCGTTATGCCCAGGGCAACTCCGGTGCACGTGTGCCGAGAAGTTCTTGCGGACACTTGTTGGTAATGACAATTCTGGAGCTGACCCACGTGCCTCCCACAGGTCCGGGAGAGCGATGGTCCCGCAGATGGAGGGGCAGCAACGAGTAGGGGCAGCCGTAGTGACCCCGGCTGGCACGGGGCTGTCTGGACCTAGCGGTGTGACCTCAAGGAGGAAGCAGTGCGTGCCCAGACGTTAAAAGGCAGGGGTGTCTTTTTTGCAGCAACCTAACACCAAAGAATCCATAGCAAAACTCGTCCAGAACATTTCTGAGATGGGGTAAGACATAGGCTGCCACGTAGGAGAGAGATAAGCGCCAGATTGTGCACTGTGGCCCCGTGGGCATGGCCGAGCACCCGAGGATGCCTCTGGGCTCGGCACTGGAGTTCTGTGTTGGGGGTGGGGCTGGCACAGATGTGGGTTTTATCGGTTCAGTTAAACGCAAGTGGTGATAGTGGTCCTTGAACTGAGGTTAAGGATGAATTGAGTCCAACCTTGAAATCTACTTTAAAAAACAGAAGCCGTTTTCCCCCTTACCCCCACCCCCAGCCAGGTACACAGACACACAAAGGTGACTTAGGAGCAAGTCATCTGGCTCAGAGGGAACAAGCGAAGGGTCGCTGTTCTGTGCGTGCTGGTTTCCAAGGGTCTCTGGGTAGAGCCGTCATCGTATGTGAGAGAGCAGTGTATCACACGTCGGCCTGCCCAGGAGGGCTTCACTCAGAATTTCTTGCTGACTGACGAAGCTTGCAAACCCTAGCTTGTTAGGTTTCGTTTATACTTCTTGGATTAAGTTTGGGGCTAAGTTTGTTCTTGTACAGTGACTTGAAGCACGTACCCCAACCCCCACCTCCCAACTTAGACTTCAGAAGTTAAAAATTTTAGTTGAGTTTCAGAAAAGGAAGAGTAGTTTCTTGGGCCACTAGCAATGACGAGCTCGTAGGAAGTTGTGAGAAGGATTCCTCTAACCCACCTTTCTGCTTAACTGGCTAAATCACCCCTTCCTGAAGTCATCCCTCTATTTTTAAGACTGTGAGGGATAACTTTCCTTCTATGGCAAAGCTGAACTCTTTTCTTCTGTCATGTAAAAAAATGAGCCTCCAGGCCACAGGGAACCAACCCTCTGGGGACTGCACCGAGTCTGGCCTTCCCTTGGGATTTGGCGATGGCAAAGGAAGGCCCTTGGAGTGCGAGAGAGCAGGCAGTGTGCTGTTGGCTCTTAACAAAGGGCAGGTGCGGCCTCAGGGTCTGCGCCTTTGTGTTCATGGCTTCGGTGGCTTTATATTTTGCAGTTAGAATCTATGGAGGGGAGGTTGGATCTCAGAAATTTAGGGAAGGCTTTAGGATGGGGGGCAGGGACAGGGATCACTAAGGCAAGAAATAGCTCCATGCCCCAGAAGCTTCGTGATAGTGCGGGGTACGCTTATACTCTCAGCGAGCCCAGTGCTTGCAAGCTGGGTCAGGAGCTCAGGCCCAGAAACAAACCGCCTTTCACTGGCCTCTCTGCTTTCTCAGGCCCACCAGGGGACGAGGGGGCGCTTAGTGAATTTCCTCCTCCTTTACAGCTTATCTTCCCATTAGATACTCGTGAAAGGATTATTCCTTCTGCGGGAAGGACACATGTTACAGAGGCGTAAATTGCATGACTTTGCCTTCCTGTCCTTAGCTTTGACCAGTGGACTAGACAAACACACCTTGACCTTTCTGTCAGGAGGGTTCACAGTTTGCCTTACCTTTGATGGCTGGCTCTGGTGCGCCCTCCACCGGGGCTTGTGGCAACGCTCCCCTGCAGCTCAGCAGAAGCGACGCCCCTCCACCTCACTTTTTCACCTCAGCTTTGTTGCTTATTGCCTTGAGCCAGCCAGGTACTGCTGTAGGTCCCAGGACAGCAGAGCTTACATTCCAGTGGGGAGCCAAGCAATAAGGCAGTAATTTATCAAAGCGAGATATAAAGCAAATGTGTTTTGAATACAAGATTGACTTGATCTAACTTGGAATTTTGAAAGAGCATTCTTTTTTATATTATATATAAGATTTTATTTGTGCATACAGAACTGGAGTACAGGCCAGAGTTGTGGTGGGTGAGAGGATTCACCAGAGACAGAGCGGGGAGCAGGACAGGCAGTGTAACACTAGAAATATACTGCTGAGGGGAGCAGCGGGCGAGACAGGAGAGGTCTGCTGTGCCATGTGGGTCAGCTCCCTGGCCGGGGATCAAACTCGCGCTGAAGTGGCTTCGTAGAGCTTCATAATACTGTGCTTTAACCCGTTGCGCCACCAGGGAGAGCCGAAAGGGCCATTCTTAATGAACAGCATGGAAATAGAATCAGTTATGTGGCTATTCTAGTGATCCACTGCAAATCCAGAGATCATTTCTTCGCTACAACTGAGTGGAGAAATAATTAGATCAGGTATTTGGAAGTTGTGTGTCCAGACCACTCAGGTAACTGAGACCTCCTGATAGATGGGGAAGATGTGGTAAGAGAAGTCAGAGTGCTGCTGCCTGGAACATTCCCCTTTGGACTCCACTGTGGTGGCCTGCACCTGCTCCAGGGGTGTTCCGGGTGGCAGAACAGCCCGACTGCTCGTCCGGCCTGTCCCAGGCAGTGTTGGGAATGGCCCTACTTGCCTCACAAGGGGAGGAGACCAGACCTGTGTGATCTGGAAAAGCGCCCCTCCCCTCACTTGCTGTGTTTTGCTGGCATCCTTAGCTGCATTTGTCAAGCATCGCCAGCGGCAGACCTGGGCTTGAGGAACTTGAAACTGTGTCACAGGGATATATGAGTACCTGAAAGTCAGTTTTTTCTCCTTTTCCTTGGGTGCGGATGGCCAAGACTTCTTTACTGCTCTCCATCACCCTTAATGAGCACAATCAGTAGCACTTAGGGCATCTTTATTACCAAAATTGAAAAAAACACTGGCTTCCTGGCTTTCCGGCACACGCCGGACCCGCCCAGTATAGGGCTCCAGACCCCAGTGCCCGCAAAGCTGAGTGCTCGCCTGTGCCCCCGGGCGCCCGGGCCTGCAGCCAGCCTGTCGAGGCCTCATCCACACACCATCCTAGTTTGCCCTTCAGGGTACTTCTCACCCTCACCAGCAGCAGGCAGTGCTGCTCTCGTGGGCCTGGCGCCGAAGTGCTGATTCAGGGTGGCGGCCTATCCCTGTCTTGTAGATGTGTCTAGAGAGGGATGTTTTGCTTCAGTGGAATCCAGGAACAAATAATGAAAAGTACAGCAAGTACAAGGCCGAGGACAGACCCAGCGCACTCTTATCAGTCATCTGAAATATGCGCAGCCTTTCCAAGACAAACATGGACTCCTGTTTCTAGGAAAACACCAAAAAGTACTTACCAATCACCCCGCATATGGCTTGTGGAAAAAGACAACACCAGTCTACCCTGAAAGCCATAGCAAAGCAGATTCCTCTGGGCAACTGACAGCTGAGTGGCGGGAGCGCAGGCCGCCGTAGAACCCCAGCTGCGGGCTGGGGCCAGTCGGGGAACCCTTCCCCTTGGGGTCACTCCATCTTCACCCTGCAGCTGGGCAGCTGAGCTCATCTCGGAGGAAGTCTGGAAGCTTGACTAATGCCCAAGGTCACCCACTCTTCTTTCTGACCCACTGTGAGACCAAAGGTGCCTCTCCTGGGGTGGTTCCTAGAAAACCCGTGTGTGACCGTGTGAAGGTCACCATCGTAACAAGAGTGGGCACCCCCTTGGGGGTCACCCCATTGGTCAGGTGCAGACTTGGCGGGAGTGTTTCATTTGATCTTCACAGCAGGCCTAGGAGGTGGGTAGCATTACTCTGTTTTATGGAGAAATCTGGAACTGAGGGTTAAGAAGGTTACTGAATCGTCCTTGACCACGTCGGTAGGAAATGGTAACAGCAAGATTCTAGCGCCGAAGCTTCCCCCTGTCTAGCGCCGTCCAGCGCCGTCCACAGGCGCTGTCTCGGATTGGGAAGGGGAAGAAGCCACTTCGACTGGAACCCCCTGACTTCTCTGCTTTGTCCACTTTCCCTCCAGGACTCAAGCACAGAGAGTGCGGAAGCCGCGGTGCTGCCTGGGCCCCCAGGGGCTGCTCCCCCGGTACTCGGCGAGCCAGGCCGAAGGGCAGGAGCAGCTCTTCAAACTGACCGACAACATACAGGACGAATTGTAAGTTGGGGTGCGGGGAGCCAGCCCTGTTGGTGCACCAAGTGCTCTCGGCTGTCCTTCAGTCTGACATGTTGACATTTTTGTGACCCCAGCAGGTCTCTTCCTGACTCTTGGGCCTTGGAACTGGTCAAAGGCCCCTTGGTCCAAATGCTGTCGAGGTATAGGTGGGACTGCGAATAAGCGGCCTGCCAGAGTGTGGCTCTCAGATCGCATTCCAGAAAGGGACCGTGATGGCTTCCATCTAGAAAGCGAAAGCCTTTTTCTAGTTCAAAGGAAGGAAATAATGGATACTATGGTCTCAATTCTAAGGCTTTTTTCCCGTCAAGTTTTCCTGAACTTGTGTGTTTTAATGTTTGCTGCAGACTGCTAGTAAAACAAAGCAAATAAATAGCAAAGAATGAGTAGCTGAAGATTTTAGAAAAGTAACTTTCTTACGATCGCTTTGTCACTCTTTGAATTAGCGCCTCCTGGTTCCAGGGTCTTGTCTTATCAAGTAGTGAAGTTATCGCTGACGATAAGGCCACGTTCAAAGTAGTGCTATTTTGGGATGCTCTGCAAAGACCCTCGTCACGGAGCATGCCCTTTCGTACAGGTGGGTGGTAAACCACCAACCCGAGAAAGCAGTCGATGGCCCGATGAGGAGCAAACACTATTTTAGCTTCCTTTACAGGCTCTTCAGCTCCAGCAAGCTAGAGAGGGCCCCGTCTCTCATCGGGTGCGGCGGGGCTGGTGCAGGCTGGCGAGGGAGGCGGCCCTGGAGAGCTTGTCTGTTGTCGCTGAAGAGTCCTCAACAGCTGAGACAAAGTCTAGCGCACACTGGCTCTCGGAACATACGGGTCCGAGGAACCAGAGTTGGATACCCGCGACTTATTTAGCGTTTGTAGTTGCCCATTGCAGTTTGCCACCTTTCAGGGGACTTTCGGTTCAAGGTTGAGATGATAAATTGTACATTGTGCTTTTAATTTCCTTCCCCACTCACTCTTACTCAAGTCTTTGCAAAATTCATTTTTGGTAGAATGACATGTGCCAAAAACAGGCAGCGCGCGACACGGCTGACGTGTGACTGCCCCGGCTGCAGACACTGAGAACGTGCCCAGACGAAGCCAGGGAGAGGCGTTTCACCAAACTCTGGGAATTCACGTAAACTAGGAAGGGACAGTGGCGTGAATGAATGTTGACTCCAGAGATGAAAACTGTGTATCTCTGCCCAAGTTTGTGCTTCGGCCTTGCCAGTAAATGTTGAAGTAGGCATGTGACGTGGCCCTCTGGGGTGTGCGAGGGGAGCCCCCTCTGTTGCTCTGAAGTTGCCCTGTTGTCAGGCAGGCTCTCACGGTGACGTGCGCATGAGAAGCATCGCCGTGTGGGGAAGGGGTTTTCAGGAAAAGAACACGAGTGCCAGGTTACACCCCTGACTTTTATCCCAGCCTTGTAATTAAAAACACGTTTGAGGGCCTAATTATTTGCATATTTTCCTTCAGAGTTAACCCCTTAAAAGGGTCTTTAATACCTTGCTCTACTGTTCTAACTAAATGTTTCCACATTTTTTTCCAGTTAGACTCACTGTTTCACTTCTGGAAAATATTGTGTAATGACTTCCTGATGTAGTGAAGCCCCACACAGCCCCAGTGCCAGGTTACTTCAACTTTGTTCTCCCAGATCAAGTTTCATAGACCTTTTTTTTTTTTTCATTTTATTTAATAAATTAGTATTAAAAAGATAGTTACTGACATATGAGTTAAGGTCTGGCCAGCTGAGAAGGCTTCATTTTCAAGCAAATCAAATATTTCTCTGGTTATCTTGCAGAATTACCATCACTTTTCATTTTATCAATTTTGGTTCCAAAATTGGGCCCCGGGTTAAGAAGCTGTTAAAATAAAACCTGTCCTGATTAAATTCCTTTTTTTCTTGATAGTCATTAACTAATCTATTACCAGAAATCCTCTTCATTAAGAAAGAAGCACCTGTTAACATCTACTCCTTCATCACAAAGTCACACGCTAGTCACACAAAGGCACACACCCAAATATCAGTTGTGAAGGTGCTCACAGGAGCATCTTCTGCTCTGCTGTTCCCTGAGCTTCTCTCACACTGGGGCTCATTTGGAGATGCAGTTTTAGAAAACAACACTGAGATTTATAGCTGTGTTTCATGCTTTAACAAAGAGCCACAATCTTTAGTAATATTTTGTTAAGTGTATTTAAATGTAGCTGATTTCCCTTGTAATCACAAGTGTTTTACTTTATGAATTTAAAAGATTTGTTCTGAGAAAGGACCCACGGGCCTCTCCAGGCCACCAGAGGGGTCCATGATCGAAAAATTGCTGAGAAGGCCCTATTCTCACCAGAAATTGGGAAACTTTCTAGATAATTTGCTATTTTAAATTATTATTGTTGTTGTTGTTGTTATTTTGGATTGTGACCATTGCTAACCAAAAGAATCCTTATCCTGGAGAGAAATATATTAAGGTATTTATAGGTGAAGGGAAAAAAATCCATGAATTAGCAGCAGCAGCAATGAATCCTTGCAGCAGAGCAGACAGGAAGCAGCTGCAAAGGGCCGGGCAGAGGCTTCAGCCGCTCCTGGGAGCGGGCAGGGCCCCACTGCGGCCCCCAGAGGCTGGTGGGCACCTCAGGAGCTCTTGAGGGCCCCTGGTCCTTGAGTGCAGCAGGGCGGTGGCCCCCCGAGTCCTCCCTGGGTCATGTGCCCACTTCCAGCATTTTGGGTCTGCTCCCCTTTCTGTGTTTTCCTTTTGTGAGATGTTTTTAATACTAAAAAGTACAAAAAATAACACAAAAATAACATTTAAACCCACCGGCAAGATAAGTCCTTTCCCTCTTTGGATGGAATGAACTCATGCCTGTAGCCAAAGAAATCTGTGTAAATCGGGCATGTCATGCCTTGTCCCCCCTTCTGAGACATCACAGCTAGAGAGGGAAGCCAGACAGCTCTATCGCGTCACAGCGTTGGTGCCGATAGCACCTCACTATGATGTAGACCTTGGAGCAGTGTTTACCTATTGCCTCAAAACGACAACAAATAAGAGGCCTTTCGAGGAAATCCCTTTTTCTAAACCAGGACATAGCCCGTGACACACAGAATTCGAGACTCTCCGATAGAACACTAAATAAAAACTCCCCTTCAGCAGATTTTCCGTCTGCTCTGATGAGAGTGAATGGTTGACCGCGTCTTCAGTACGTCCATCAGGCATCCCGGGCCGCTCTGCCCGTCCCGGAGCTGCGCGCGCCCCGGCAGCGCCACGGGTCCCGCATGTGTGTGTTCTCGGAGTACGTGACACACAGGGCTCCTGGCGCTCCTGGGGCCACGACCAGTCAGCGCGAGTTCCGGCCCCCAGGGGAGGCAGCCTGGCTCCCGCCGCCTGCAACGTGGTGTGTCCAGAGAGCTGTGAGCCTCGTGTAGTGAGGCTGCGAGCAGACGTGACTAGTTTGTACCTGGGAAGCCGGCGAGGCGGTGACAGTCCCCCGGCCCTGCAGGATGGGGCTTCTGTGCCGAGGGGGCAGGAAGGCGCGTCATTCTGGAGCAGCTGAGCTGGCCAGGGGCGGTGGCACAGGTGTGCAGGAGCAGAGGCCGAGCCAGGCCAGATGCGGAACGCCCAGCTGTGTTTACCCTCCTGTGGGCAGAGGTGAGATTTTGAAGAGGCTCCTGCTCAAGCATACCTGTTAACAAGGTAGCCTTGGCGGCAGCGGAGGGCTGGCTGAGCTGCAGAGGCTGGAGCAGACCAGCCGGAGGCCCTGGTGCTGCGCCGGTGCAAGGGCATGAGCTGAGTGCAGGCGGGCTTGGGGGGCGATAAGCATGGGGCCAGGGTTGGAGGTGCTTAGGAAGCGGCTGGGGCCCGGGCCGAGGCAGATGGAGAGTCCCGGCAAGGAGGGCACACGCGGGAGGGCTTCGCGCCTGTCTGCTGGCATGCACCTGCGGCGGGGGGACCGGGGAGAAAGGGCAACCCAGTTTAGAGGTGCCAGGGGCGAGGCTTGTGGGACACGTGGACAGATCAGCAGATTTGGTGTGACAGATGGACAGGAAGGGCGCGGCCTGGGATAAGAGCACTCCAGCAGTAAAGCAGCTCAAGGCTTGTCCAATTTTAAGATAACTCCAAGCTGGTAGAAGAGTACTAAAGCAGAGAAAAGACGGGCGGAGGAGAAAAGGAAGATGCAGGTGAAGAGGGTGGTTGGAGCGACTGCTCGGCGACTTCTCTCTCCCTGAAGAACAGTCCATCCTTAGCCCATTTTCCTTGTGGCCCTTGGAGGGGCAGTCCTCACCCTGCTTGCAGGGGGACCCTCCTGCAGACTCGCGTCAGTGGTCAGCAGAAAGCAGCAACAGCAGTAGCCACCGTGGTCGTGCTTGTCTGCCAGGCCACGGATCCTGATGCTGCAGGTGGGCCAGAGGGCTCCGGGCCCGGGCAGCCCTGGGCCCCTGGAGGACACTGCCAGCTCCGCAGAGCCTCACGGATGATGCCACGGTGTTGCTGAGAAGACCTTGGTGTCTTCTCAGTGTCTTTCAGCGGTGTTGGTGGTGCTGGGCTCTGCTTCCGGGGCGCTGAACCTGCTGGGGGGGCCCCCCAGGAGCACCGTGCGTGCGCTGCACCTGCGCCCCCTTAGGGGAAACTTGATGCTGCTCCCAAGGTCAAGGGGTCCCTTTCTCACCATCAAGGAGAGTTAAGAATAAAAGTGAAAATCCTGGTTCTCAGAGAATTGGTGGTAGTATCTATGGCAACCTGAAATGTGTCCATAAAACACAGGGCGCCTTCTCCAGTCTGTGCACTTGACGGAGAAGCTCATACAGATGCTGTGTCTCTGGCTCCCTCCCGCCGAGCTGTGCTGGGTCACAGAACAGAGGGGTGCAGGACCCACTGGCACCACGCCGACTTTCTCCTCTGCACCCCCTGCGGCGGGGGTGGGGGCCCAGCAGTCTGTTCTGGGCCAGAGCAGCCCGCGTCTGGGCCCACACGGTGCCTGGCTCCTCGGACCGCACCGTGGCTCTTGGGGCACCCTGACCTCCTGGCGACGCAAACCGCAGCAGAGCCGGAGCAGGCCAGGGAGGGAGGGGGCACGAGGCCTGGGAGTGTTGGGCCTGAGCCTCTCTGGGAACCCTGAGCTCAGTTCCCGTCTCGCAGGGTCACAAGTTTGCGGGGGCTCCGTTAGAGGAGAGCCCTGTCTGGAGCTCAGTCTTAATTACTCTTTGATGTGGTTTCCAGTCTTTGCTAAAAAGAAGAAAAGAGAAAAAAGCAGCAGTAAGGAAGCCCAGAACCTTGGTCGTGGCTGCAGCACATGTGAGGGGACAGGAGGGCAGCGGAGGCCGAGCCCGCTGCGAGGTCGCCTCTGGCTGCTGATCCTGTGGCCAGGCCCAGGCTCTCCCGCGAGGCTCCCTCTCGCCCTTCCTCCTAGCCCTGCTCTGCTTTTGACTTGAGAATGTTTCGTCTAGATATCTGCAAACTGCCGGCATGTGAGGAGGCTTGGGAGCTGGCGCCGGCCTCGGCCCTCACAGGCAGCCCTGCCCTGTGCTCTGTGAGGCCCAGGACTCCTCTGACTCTTGCTAACCCTTGAAGGAAGCTGGCGGTAGGGTCGCCGCCAGGAAAGCGACCGGCGAGGCGGGCCAGGCCCTGCCTGCTCCTGACACTCGCAGGAGGACGCCCCTCCCGGAGCTCCCATGGAAGCTTCGCCATCTGTGGCATCTGGGGAGGGATCTACTTTCAGCCTGTCAAGGTGCTCCAGTGGCACATGCAGGAGGAATGTCGGCTCCTGGCCTGGGTGCCAGGATGCAGGCGCGGCTGCCGGATGGAATGGCGCCTTCCCGGGCAGCCTGGCACTGCCAGCTCGGTGCCACGTGGGGTGGGCTGCAGGCCCCTCCTGGGCTGGCCTAGGAAGAAGCGGGCCCTAGAGCACAGGTGGACTTCCAGTGCCCGTCCTTGCTTCCACCAACAGTGCCAGCCTCGGGTCTCCTTAGAGCGCGTCAGCCCGCATAGCCACCTGTGTGGCGAAGCCGGAGCTTTGTCCGGCTGCCCAGCTCACCCCAAGCCAGTCTGGGCGTGGCCCCATCTTTTCCCTCTCCTGTTTCCTTCTCCTGGATCCGCCTGTTTAGATTCCATCCAGTTTGATTAAGTGACTCAGTGGCAGCGTGGCCCCTCTGGCTGGGGTTCTGGGCCGAGCGGCCCAAACGCCAGAGCTGCCGGGTATTTCTACTCGTGGCACAGAGACGTCACAAGTCTACATTCTTGGCATCGCCCACCAGTTAGAATAGAGCAACAAACCCCACCTTTTGTTGTGCAGGGCTGGCTTAAAATGGCAGTGGAGCCGGCAGGCACTGGCCAAGTATCTGCGATGGTGGGGGCTCACGGAGCCCCCGGGCCGTGGACCCCACGCTGACAGCCCTGCGTGTGTGGCAGGCTTTTGAGTACTGAAGAGTGGGGCTGAGCGTCCTCAGCCGGGCAGCTTTGGTTGCTTGAGAGAGGGCCGTGTTCTCAGGGGCGAGCGGGAGCCCGGCACATGCTGGCGCTGAAGGCGAGTCCGCCTGCCCCACAGCAGGCCTCCCTTGTCCGTCAGTGCTCTGTGACTGCTGAGCCAGTGACAAAGCCGTCCCGGAACCAGTCCCGGAACCGCTCCGGGGAGCCTGGCTTCCAGAGACCTCAGCCTGGAAACTCCCCTCAGGGCAGCGCGTCCCAGGGCCAAGCCTGACAGCCAGCCTGTCAGCTCTTAGTATGCTTGTCATCTGCCTTCCCTCTCTCGTCCCTCGGTTCGGCTGCCCATTGTGGGCGGCTGTCACAAGACACGGGAGGCAGCCAGCCTGGGAGAGCTGCAGCGGCCGTTCCAGGGGTCACCGCTCTGATTCAGCCGCCCAGCCGAGGGGGTTGACACAGGTGGACTTCCCCTTTATATCTGGGAGCTCCATGGAAGGAGATTTTTTTCTGATTGGCCCAAAAACCCCCAAAATAATGACAGAAAGTGAGGAAGCCAGGAGCCAGCCTCACCCAAGCAGGTGCTAACTGTAAAGTTTCTGAGAGCGCACTGGCACTCAGCTCCCTGTGCCTGGAGCTGCTGGACTCAGCGGGTGGCGTGTGGCCAGAGCAGTGGTTGGAGGAGAAGACGAGGCCCCGCCGTGTCTGCCGGCTCCTCACCTCACACACCGGTCGGCCTCCTCAAAGCCGCCGCTCCCTCCCCGCCGCTCCGCGAGCACTCACAGGGGCACACGAGCACAGGAGACACGTCTGCAGTGAGCGGTGTCAGTCCCCTCGTTCACACTTAAGAACATTAGTATTCTTCCCCTTTTGTCCAACAGAGCCCACCTCACCTCACTTTCTGTAGGGCTCGAACTACCCAGGAACTTTCATTGAATGAAACACCCCACGCGGTTCAGCGTTCGGGCATTAGCTCGTTTCCATCGACGCTGTGGTGCGTCCTGAGCTGCGCTGGGCTGGGGGCCCTGTCCCTCCCTCGAGGCGGGGGTCTCCTTTCTTCCCCACGTGCCGCTGAGGAGACAGCCGAGAGGGCCCGGGCCTGCAGCCCGCCGTGCGCGGAGGAGAAGCCCGGCGCCTTCTCACTTCCTGCTTCCTTCGCAGCTTCATCGCTGTGGAGAACACAGACAGCTACTGTGTGCTCATCTCCTCCAAAGCCGTGTACTTCCTGAAAAGTGGAGACTACGTCGACCGAGAGGCCATTTTCCTCGAAGTCAAATACGATGACCTCTACCACTGCCTCGTCTCCAAAGACCACGGGAAGGTGTACGTGCAGGTGACCAAGAAAGCGGTGAACACGAGCAGCGGCGTGTCCATCCCGGGTCCGTCCCACCAGAAGCCCATGGTGAGCCCACCCGTGCCGCCCGCCCACCTCCTTCACCCCCAGTTCACCCCTGGGGACCCGATGCAGCTGTCGACTGGTCTGTTACTAGTCCGGGCACTGCAGCTTCATCCTGCATGTTAGGGGCGCCCCGTGTGTATTGTTGGGGTGTCACTGTCCCCCACCTCTGCCCCCAGTGACCCGGACAAGGCACCCAACACTGCCCGCCCCTGCCCCCAGCTCCTAGTTACTAGGGCTTCCTCTAACTGGGAGGCCCCTTCCCGCGACTCCTGGGGTTTGTTCCTGAGATGTGACTTGGTTGCGTTGACCTTGAGGGTTGGAGGACAGGCTGGCTTCACTGCGATGGAAACTGCAACACTTTTTTGGCCCGGAAGCACTACCTGGCGCAGGCCCCTGCCCAGAGTAAATGCTCAGGAGCTGCGTAAATAATGTTTAAGCTTTGCCTCCAGAGGGTCTGAAGTGTCCAGCAGGGCCCCTGAAGGCTTCCTGGGCACCACCAGCAGCCGCTCTGGGCACACCATGGCGCCAGCTGGCCCCCAAGGCCGTCTCATGCCCTCTCAGCCCAGGGCACACTTGGGCTGGGCTTGGCACGCGCTGGCTTCTCCGGGCTCGCCCCTCACTCCAGGGCTGGTAGGTTAACACAGTTAGCGCAGCAGGGCGAGCCAGTATTTCCCCAAGTCCCCTTGCATGCTGAGAAGCTGGCCAGCTGCACGCTGGCCCCTTCCAAGGCCGAAACAGTTTTGTGAGAGACCTCAAGCCTCTGTTCCTGGTACTCCCTCCACTTTGACCATCAGCCGGCGCCAGACTTGACGGCAGAGGCGCCGTCCTTCAGGCCTTTCTTTTCATGGCCGCATATTTTTATCACGATAACAGTGGTTACAGCTCTTTATGTGGTGTAGGGGCACAGGTTTGCTCCCCTTAGGTGACGGTCCCCACACTGTGGCGCATTCTTAATCCACTCCCCTGCCCTGGGCACGTAGGTCACCTCCACATCTTGGTGTGTGTGGGTGGTGCTGCAGCGCCCAGAGGTGCAGACCCTCCTGGAGGGGTCTCTGCACCCTTGGGCAGACCACCTGGGTCTCAAGGTAGATCTATTTTTTAAATTCTGAGAAACCTCCACCCTTTTCCATGGGGCTGGCTGGATCTGTCTACACCCACCCATCTTGTGCGAGGCCCCTCACCGACACATGTGTTTGTCACTGAGGTGTGCACACTCTCCGTAGATTCCGGGTCTCGGCCCTTCCTCTGGCTGCTAGCTCCACTCAGCAGAGCCTCACACCCTCGGGGCTGCAGCTGTTCTGCCAGTGAGCTCCCGTGGCAGGCGCAGGCCTCTCCAGGGTCACCCCGAATGGGTCAGAATACGCTTCCGGGACTCCCCCCCCCTTCCTCTGGCTGCTAGCTCCACTCAGCAGAGCC